CCTATATTGTGTATGGACACATAAATAGGTAGCAAATATATACAAGTCTTTATGGGTTTAATAATTACTGAATTCATCATAGCAGAGCCCACTGTGGAAGGAGAGAACAGAGTGGGTCAGGGAAGAGGTAAAAGCAGAGTTTTAACATATCTGTAAGGTAAAAGATAGGCAGTAAGTAGGGCCTAATATTTAAATTTGTTACAGCTAGGCATTGGTGTTTGTAATATTAATCTGTGTTCTTGCCTCTGTGTTTGAGATTAATTTATAATAAAATATTTCACCCTAAAAGCAAGCAAATAAATTACAAAAGTAGTCCCACCACTTTTGTTTCATGAGGGTATGAGGGCACATGCTATAGAATTCTTTGTAAGATTCAAATTCCTGGAAACCGTAAAGTAAATCCATACTTGCACTGCAACACAATTCAGAGGAATCATCAGTGGACTACAAACTGTGAGAAGTCCCCATACGAGGGACAGAAAATAGGGTCAGACTCAGTTGTTTAAGCCATAGCCCACAATGGAGGGCTGGCACAAGAGTGCTTTATACCTTGGAGAGGTGCTTGCCGGTATCTAAACAGAGCCCACAGATAACTGAAATGTAATTAGTGTATGACAATAGGAGTAGTGTGAACTAATCCCTGAACTTCCCTCCCTATCCTACTCCTAGCTCTTACCCCAGGCAATGGGTATAAAAATGTCTGCCCAGGTGAGAGCAAGATCTATGGAAACTTGGGCAAACATCCAAAATAGTGCCTGGCAAAGTTGAGTTAGTGAACAAAATCTGGGAGAAAAAGGGCGTATCAACACCTGCAAGAATTACTGCTGAGTTATCCAGCCCAGTCTCATGTCCCAACCAAGTCCCTCCTCATAGTTTCACTGAAAATATTCCAATAATATGAATTTACCTCAACACTAATCATAGTTTTTATTCATTAAGTACTCCCCATGAGTGAGGCATGCATATGTCTTACTTAGTTTCCTTTTTGTGATGTAACAAGTTGTCACAAACTTTGTGGCTTAATCAAATATAATATTTTATAGTTTTTGAGGTTGGAACTCTAAAATATGTCCACAGGGCTACACTCTTGGAGGCTTTACAGGAGAATCCATTTTCTTGTTTTTTTCAGCTTCTTGAAGTTGCCTACATTCCTTGGGTAGTAGCCCCTTCCTCCATTTTCAAAGCCAGCAGTATAGCATCTTTTCTTCTCTGATCTCTGTTCCATTCTTAAATATTTTACTGACTACTGTATCCTCTTATAAAGACTTTTAGGGTTATGTTGGGCCCACCAGTATAATCCAGGATAATTTCTCTATCTCAAGATCCTTAACTTAAATACATCTGCAAAATTCTTTTTGTCATATCACATCACATATTCACAGGTTCTGAGGATAAGGATGTGAATACCTTTGGGAATTGAGGGCCTAACCACTTCTTGCATGAGCTATTACCCTTTAATCTCACAATACCTCACAATAGAGGTATACCTATGATATACCTCTATTTGTGGATGGAGAAACTCAGGCTTAGAAAGGTTAAGTAACATGCTGGACTTGACACAGCTTGAAAGGGGAGAACCAAGCATGGAAAATATGCCAAGGTCAATGAGGATCCCTGCCTTGCTCTTCCCTATATCTGTTCTTTTTCTCATTTCCTTCCCTTCTGCTCCTATCCTAATGGAGTACAAACACTTTCTTCCATGTTAAGCCTCTTTGCACCAGATGATCTACATTCAATGGAACAGTTGTGAGGTGTGATGGCAGAAGCTAAGACTTGAGAATCTGAAGATGTGAGTTCCAGTACTGTCAGGTACCAGCAATGCTATGATCTTGGGCAAATAAGTTAATATCTCTGTAGTTTCACTGGTAAACAAACGCTATTGTAAATATTCCAGATTGGAGATAGTTTAGACACATAGCATGGTAGCCTAGCACATCAACATAATAGTTTTCCTCCTCTCTGTTTTCCTAGAGCCCTCATAGGTCAGTTGTTCTTCCTGTCATGCACTACTTACTCCAAACAGAGAATTGGTCTCTAATGTCCCAAGGCATGATTTTTTTACTATTTTCTCCTGTCAGTAGTATGCCTAGTGATATTTTGACTATTAAATACACTATGTTTATTGACTAAAAACCTCTGTGGCATTGTCATATGTAAATGTGATTTCTGTTAAGCTTTTAGGAAAACTGAGAGTAACCCACAGCCTAAACCCTATTTCTGATTATTTCTTTGGGGAAACTGGATGGGAGCCTAGACTCAAACTTAGACTTGTGGGGGTGGGGGGGAAAGGGCTTTTTTTTTTTTTTTTTTTGAGACAGAGTCTTGCTTTGTTGCCTAGGCTAGAGTGAGTGCCGTGGCGTAAGCCTAGCTCACAGCAACCTCAAACTCCTGGGCTCAAGCGATCCTTCTGTCTCAGCCTCCCAAGTAGCTGGGACTACAGGCATGTGCCACCATGCCCGGCTAATTTTTTCTATATATATTAGTTGGCCAATTAGTTTCTTTCTATTTATAGTAGAGACGGGGTCTCGCTCTTGCTCAGGCTGGTTTCGAACTCCTGACCTTGAGCAATCCGCCCGCCTTGGCCTCCCAGAGAGCTAGGATTACAGGCGTGAGCCACCGCGCCCGGCCGGAAAGGGCATTTTTTGAAACCTTAAAATTTGTACCCCCATAATATGCCAAAAGAAAAAAAAAAAAGGATAGGCTCTGTGCTACCCAGGGTGCTACCCAGAGCTGCTTTTCCCCTGTTGTGGAGAGGTGCAAAGGATTACTCAGATAAAGGCAATGAAAGGGAAATGGCACCCTCCTCCTCAATCAGCTGGTTGGTGGACTGAAAGGACTACAGCAACAAATATACACTGCCCCAAATTGTTTTATGACTGGTCTTACTGAACAAAAGACCTCAGGAGGCTCTGGTTATAAAGAAAACTTTAGTTAGAAAGTGACCGTTGGGAAAGAATGAGTTTATTATATTACATTCCCATGAAATCCCATCATAATGAGGAAGAAAGTTGAAAAAATACAGGCAATTTTGCAGTGCTCTAGACAAAAAAAAAATAAAACCCTGAAGCATAAGAAGGAATGAAGAAAGGGAGGAAGGGAGAAAGGGACAGAGGAAGGGAGAAAGGGAGGAAACTTGAATTCAGAGGATCATGTTCTAATCCAGAATTGCTGGTGTGTACTGTTGGACTTTAGAGATCCTCACAAGAAGTCTGGCAGACAAAGCTGGTCATATCAGCCTTTTCCGTTTGTACAGAGGACATATAGAGGACAGGGATGTTAGGTGAACTTATCGAGATCAAAGGGGTTGTGACATGGGCTGGGCCAGAGCTCATATTCTCAGGTCTGAATTCAATGCCCATTCCTCTACACCAGGCATCTTCTTTCTACACATGTACAGAGGCTGGGCCTTGCTGGGTGCAATTTACCTGGCAAGTCTGCTTTCCCAGCAGCACACACTGCCCTACCTCAGAATTCATTCACCAGGTGCAGCCATATCCTATGCCACTAACTCTACCAAGGGCTGGGAGGCATGAGATACTATAGGCTAGACAAGGCCCCTTCCTTCAGTGGGATTACAATCTGCAGTTGTGTCAATCAAGCCAAACAGGTATAAAGTATTCCCTTGTCTTGAGTTAAGAACACATGTAAAATCTTTTCCATCATGTATTCCTTCAACATGCATTTATTAAATGCCACTCTCACACATCACTTGAAACACTTTGCAAGACAGAGTATGTGCTTACTATGTGATAGATGCTTTTCATTTATTATCTCATTTAATTCGCACAACCCTATGAGGCCAGTACTTCCATTAGCTCCACTTTACAGATGAGGAAACAGGCTCAGAGAGATAAAGTGGCTTGCTTAAGCTAACACCCTGAATGGTATAGGAAAGATATAGAGTGCTAGCTACAGGGCCTACCTCAAGGGAGAAAAAAAATTGACCCATTACCCTTTTGGACAGAGCAAGGCAAGCTTCAGAGAGGAAGATGCCAGTGAGCAGGAAGATGGTATTCAGATAATTGGAGAAGGGAAGGAAGGCACTGCAAGCAGAGCAAACGGTGAGCAAAAGCAAGGAGTGGATTAAGTTCAGAGCATGCTCTGAAAGAAGCAAAATAAAGCAAGTATCCAGGTAGACTGGAGCCTAGAAACCTTGGAGACAACCCACACTCCATCACCCCTCCCCATTTCCCCACTTCATCCAGTCAGTCTGCAAAGGCCTTCAGTAATCACCCCTAAAATGCCTTTCAGCCTCTCCATCCCCATGGCGACAGCCTTAAGCTCACTTTCATTCTAAGTGCTTCCTATGTGGTTTGTCCAGAGATGGTCTGTGAGGCTGTACAAATGCAAATCCGATCCTGTCACTGCTCTGCTCAGTAACCCCCTCAATATATAGCAATATATAGCACTTTAAAGGCTCTGCACCTCTTGCACCCTGCTTGCTTTTGCAGTCCCACTCCTCACTTCATCCAGCACTTGGACCAGAACAGTATTATCCAGGTCCTAGACGGGCCCGAATAATTAGTAAACACATAAAAAATGCCTTCTGAAAATAGGGCGAGGGGATGAATGTGCCACGTAAGCCAAACAAGAATGGAGAGCTGAGGACAGCTGATGCCTTCGGAGAGGACACCCACCCCCGCCCCCATCCCACAGCACAGCTCGCCTTCGCTGGGAATGGAGTAGAGACTCACTCTTTCCCAAGACCCGGGAGCCAATCTTGGAATGTCTGTACCAGACTGAGGAATAAAGAAACCCTAAGATTTTCTTTTCTTTGGTGCATATCCTAGCCCCACCAATCAATCCCTAGCAATCATTTCTGCTCTTGTCCCACCACTGTGGCGGCTTGCCCCTTTTCCTATCTGCCAGCGGAAGTCCCTGTGGAGGACTGGCTCACTTCCTCTTTGGTGTTTGGCGCGTGCGTGGCAGGAGAGGCGGGGGCAATTCTGCTGAGCTTCCTTGCTATTACTGCTGCCGCTAGTGCCATCTGGGGCGGCGGGGGCCGCGGCGGCGGCGGCGGCTGCTGCTGCTGCTGCTAGGTAAGTCAGGTTGCGTGGGAACAAGCTTTGTAACTGAGAACGTCTGGTCTGTTGCTACAAAGACTCTATTGACATCGGTGACTTCAGCGACAGCAGCTTCTTAAGGTAGAGATAGTTGGTTTCTGCAGAGGCTACAGGCATCCTTCGCTAGGACTGCTGTAGGCTTTGAGTCCCTAGCAGGAGACATGCCTCGCGGACGGAAGAGCCGGCGCCGCCGTAACGCAAAGGCAGCAGAAGAGAACCGCAATAATCGCAAGATCCAGGCCTCAGAAGCCTCCGAAACCCCAATGGCCGCCTCTGTGGTTCCGAGCACCCCCGAAGACGACCTGAGCGGCCTAGAAGAAGACCCAAGCACTCACGAGGAGGCCTCTACCAACCCTGAAGAAGCCTCGAGCACTGCTCAGGCGCCTGCAGTGGCCCGGAGCAATTTTCAGGGCACCAAGAAAAGTCTCCTCATGTCCATATTAGCCCTCATCTTCATCATGGGCAGCAGCGCTAAGGAGGCCCTGGTCTGGAAAGTGCTGGGGAAGTTGGGGATGCAGCCTGGGCGGCAGCACAGCATCTTTGGAGATCCGAAGAAGGTCGTCACAGAAGAGTTTGTGCGCCGAGGGTACCTGATTTATAAGCCAGTGCCCCGCAGCAGTCCCGTGGAGTACGAGTTTTTCTGGGGCCCTCGAGCACATGTGGAATCAAGCAAGCTGAAAGTCATGCATTTTGTGGCAAGAGTTCGTAACCGATGCTCGAAGGACTGGCCATGTAATTATGATTGGGATTCAGACGATGATGCAGAAGTTGAGGCTATCCTCAATTCAGGTGCTAGGGGCTATTCTGCCCCATAGAGATATCTGAGGCAGACCCTTGGGGGTGGGAAAGAGTGTCAAAGGTACCCCAAGGAGTAGATAGGCTGTGTCCAGACCTGAAAATAACGTGGATTGGGGTGGGAGGGGCACTGTATTTGGTATTTGTGATCAATGCTACTTGTTTAACTGCGAAATAGAGTGTTTGCTTTGGATAGTGTAAAATTCCATTCTTTTTATAACCTTTTGATTGAGGATCACAATATGTTCAAAATATAATTGAAGAGGTTTTTTTCTTTTCTTTCTGTGATTAAGATTTAGTATAACAGTTTCCCTATTGTTATACAATTAAGTCATTCCTTAATATTCTGTAACCTAGTAAAAAAATTATATCATGGAAATAGGCTGTTCTATTAAAGTTAAAATAACCACTAAAATGTGAGAGAAGGACAAAGGATTTGTTCAAATATGACCATTCTAAAACACCTTGTGTCTGCTATTGTATGAAGAAGAATCAAATTTTCATGATTTGCTCAGTTACTGCAGAATATAGTGAAAAATAAAAGCATAATGACTCGAGTATACTTTGTTTGTTTATTGACCACCTGTTATGTGAGGCACCAGTCTAGGTTCTAAGAGGGATACTCCTTAGTACACACTCCTTAGGGCCAAAGAATGTTCTAGATTATATGGAAAAGAAAAATATGTAAACTGGCAGGGCAGTACATGCTGTGATAGGGACCGAGCAGGAGGTGCCAAGAAAATGTACAAGAGCTTATATGACTTGTCCTGGGAGATGGAACAGGGAAGGGGGCATCACAGGGTGCTTGAAAAATTCAAGAGATGCGTAAATAAGCTTGGGGGGGAATTGAAAGGGGCGTGAGCGTATACTTATGAAAATATTTTGCATTGGACGTTCTATTGGATTCTTAAGCCAGCTTAGAGGAGGGAGCATTAGCAAAGGGGAGGAGACATCACAGAGTGCTGTGGAAAGAGAAAAGACACTTAAATCATGTTGCGAGGAGGAGGGCAGAGTGAAGGGGTAGTTGCAGGACAGAAGCCTATCATGAGGTACTGCAGGAATAAAAAAGATGGGACTGTCAGAAAATTCTTGGTGAGATGACAACCTACGGTTTGGAAATACTATAGGAGATGGGGGAGGGAGTAAATATGGAGGCACTGAAGGCAGCATGGGCATTCGGGAACTAACAAATGCTTCACTGAACTATTGAGGTTATGTGAAGAGGAAAGCAGAGAACAAGAAATGAGGCAGGGGAAGAGGTGAGCAGGGCCAGAGCCTCAAAGGGTGGGTTTCATGGCTGACTTTAAGCTAATACAAATAAAAATGATTAGTAATAGTAATGACCCCAAAATAATGAGGATAATGAGGGGAAAGGCTCTAAAAAATTTAAGAGCTTCTGAGATATTGGATGAGCCAGAGAGAAGACTCCACCTGTGGCATCTCAGAAAGGTACCCTGGCGCTTCTCTCAGGAACTCCAGTTTGTTACAGTGCATACGTTGTTGAAAATGTGTGTGTGTGTGTGTGTGTGTGTGTGTATGCGTGTGTGCGTGCACGCACGTGCGTGTGTGTATCTGTCTGTCTGTCCAAGGGGGCAAGTTAGCATTAGCATTTACACTGTCTCCTCCAGCCAGTGTAGCAGGTCCAGAGGGCTATCTGGCACGGTGGTCCGTGCTGTACCAAGTCATGTGGGATCATTTTTTTCCCAGCCCAAGAACTTTCATACTTTCTCAACTCATGAGAGCAAGGAGCTCAGTGCCCTTCTCACCCATTCTGTCACCAGGAGCTTCTGGCCTGCAGCAGATCTGGAGATGTGGGAGTCTTCCCCTTATGCACGTTCTCATCAGCCTATCACATTTACCACAAGAGCTAAACACTATGAACTGAGATAAGCCCCCTCATTGGGTGCACTGAGGACAGCACCTAACCTATCCTTGTGGGGCTCAGGGGAGCAGCTATCACAACAGAGAAAGAGTAGCCAGGCTACCTTCTTCCTTCTTTACGTCCATTCTTACCCTGCTGCCAGCTGTGTGCAAAGTCCAGTCACAGGCTGCAGAGTAGGCTAGCCAATGACTTTCTGGCGAAGGCCCAGGGACCCACAGTCATCAGCCTGCAGGCCAAGGAGGCTTCAGATAAAAAGTAGTAAGTACGACCACTCAGCAGCTCCAGATTCATTCAGCAAGCCATAAAATAGTGAGAACCTTCTATGAGTCAGGCAGTGTGATAGAAACTGGGGCTGCAGCAAATCCAAAGGCCTGTTTCTTGCCCTGGAGGGGCCATAGTTGCCAATACCACCTCCAGAGGTAAACAAGGTAGGAATCTGAGGTTGAGGCTATTAGGTGACTTTCCCATTATATTTAGAGGCACAGAAGTGGCAAGAGACACATTCCAGACAAGACCCCATGTCCATTCCCTGCAAATGCAGAGTGCTTTCCTATAGGCCACCCTGCTGTCTGTCTCTGCCTGCCAATGCACTCACAAGGGCTCTGTCTTCAAAAGAAATAAGTGAAGCCAATGAGAGAGGTCTCAGCAACCTCAACTACAGCCTCCAATCAATCCTTTGAGGAGGAAACTGACATTAAATTCTCTCCCTTTTACAAAAGGGGCTCACAGAAGTCAGTTGGCCCCAGGCCAGTCAGCTAGTAAGTGGAAAAGGCTGTAGAGTAAAGATTTGTTGAGCACTTGTCTGTACCAGAGGCATGCCACATTATCTCTGCTAGGTGGGTATGATTACCACCCATTTTATAGGAAGCTCCAGCTAGCTCAGAGGGAGAGGTAACGTCCATCCTTCCAAAACCTGTCTGAATCCATGCTTTCTTTGGCTCTGGTGGCAAATAATTATCCTGCTGCCTGAAATGATTCTTTGTGAGTGAGAGCCAAGAAGCTGATTCAGTCAGAGAACCAGCAGTTCCCAGCATGATGGGAGAAAGACTGGGAGTATACCCGCAGCTGCCCTGTCAAAGAGATGACTGCTGGAATCCTGAAGGCCTCAGGCAGGAGGCTCCCCAGGGGATTGGGAAACAAAGGTTTGGGTGACCTACTCTAGTGCAAGAAGGGAGCAATCAATGGGCCAGATTTATTCCCCTGTGGCCTGGAGGTTCATTCTCCGTGAGTACTGCGAAGAGTTAATCTTCATTTGATTAGGTAAATGCTGAGCAAGGGCAGGGATTTCCAGTGGCTGTGATATGAAAGGCAGGGCTGAGAGAGGCAGGGAAAGGGGCATTTCTGGAAGAGGCAGAGCAAGAGAGAACATACACTGTGACCTTTACATAAATTCTTCGAGCTTTGAGCTGCATCCAGACGGGACTCCAAGCTGTGAGCCTGTGGCTCTGTAAATCTGAAACCTAAACTGGCCCCACCCCACCAGAGGTTCCACAGAGTGAGTGGGAAAGCAACAGTTTTAAGTGCAAGGATGCCTCTGAAGCATCTGGATTGATATTCTGGGTCCTAGAACTGGAGAATCCAGGGACAGAGAGCCCCAAACACCCTAAAGCATAGCAAGAGTAGCAACTGGCATGCACTGAGTGCCTACATGGTGCCAGGCACTTTGGTGGCTGTTTTCACACATTGTCTCTAACTTGTGCAATGGTCCTGCAAGGAAGGTGCCACCAGGCTGAGTTTACAGAGGAAGAAACTCAGGGTCAGATCTCCTGAGCAGATTGCTAGGATCACCTGGCTGGTCAGTGGCATCCTTGTCTGCCAAGTCTGAAACCCACATTGCTCTGCTGAGAGGACAGACTCCATCATCAGGACAGGTGGGGCACTGGCCAGCCTTGGGAAAAATCTGTTTACAGACTCCATCACAGCCCAGAGTAATAGTGAGAAGGAACGTGCCGGATGAGGTGAGGAGGCGTGGGAAAATAAGGTTAATAAGCACTTTGGAGATTAGCTATGCACGTCTGCCCCTTTATTCCAATTTGCTGTGGCCCTATTGCCAAGCTACCTCGAGGGGCCCAGAAAGGGTATTTCTTTTCAAGACAAGTGAGTCTTCCCCATCGGAATACATTCCTCAGAAACTTCACCACCCTGTGCCCTCCTCCATCAGTCCTTTAATCTTAGATGCTGGCTTCCCCACAGTGGACCAAGCAAACAGCAATGTTTCTGGGCCAGCAACATTGCTCACTGATGGCATTGCCGGTCCATAAGGCTGGCAGACCTCTTCCTTTGGGCAGAGCAACTGGGATAAGATGCTCACAGACAGAAGCAGTGGGCATCCGCCCAGGGTAAAAAAGCCAGGTTCCAGGAGCGTCCTCCTTGGGCCCGACGTTGTGGCCTTCGCCTCGGCAGCCAGGCGCAGGGCACACCATGGCTGTGGCGAAAGAGAGATATCGATTCTGCCTGGGCTCACGTTGACCCCTGAAAAATGGTTAGCGGTCGGGATCCTTCTGACTCCTTCCTTTGACAGAAAAGTAGAATTCCAGCTTTCCGAAATAAATTATTTTGAAGGAGTGGAGGTGGAGGTGAAGAAGGGTAAATGGTACTAAGGTGCACTGAGACCTGTGCATAGGTTCACTCTAGGGCTCGAGAGCCATGAAACAGTTAAACATCAAAGAGCTAATGTAATTTCTTTTAAAACCTGTGTGAGGGCACTTGGACTAAGGAGGGTCCCGACTCAACCAAGACCACATAGAAGAATAACTCTGGAGCAACCCAGGGCTCAGGGAATGGGTATTTGGAGAAGTGGACTCTACGTTTCACTGCTTATCATGAAAAAGGCATAAGGCTCACACACAGGGTGAGTTGGAGGGGAAGGCAGCACCCATACACAGCTAGTGCAAACCAGGCCCGGTTCCTGACTGGCCAACTATGTGCCAGGCGTGGTTCCAATCACCTGGGATCCATAGGTGAGCAAACCACAAGCTCCCTTGCCCGTGTGAATGGTACATACAATAGCAAGGAAACAGAAAATAAAATTTAAACCTTTCATAAATAAATGACTATACAGTAGGGTAGAAGGTGACGATCACCTCGGGTGTGGTGAGGGTGGTGGTGCAGTAAGCTTCCACAGAGCAGAGGAAGGTGGATGGGGTCATCGGGAATGTGAGGAGAGCAGGGAGTAGAGCATTCAACTCAGTATTCAAGGGCAGGCAGCATAGGCTCCATTGGAGGGGTGACGTTGGAGGAGAGGAATGAAGAAGGGGAGGGGGTTCGCCTAGCTGATGTATGAAGGAAATTTCCTCCGAGCAGAAGGACCGGCTGGTGCAAAGGCTCTAAGGCCAGGGAATGTCGGGCACATTTGAGGAACGGCAGAGAGGCCAGCGTGGCTGGAGCGG